CTACTTTGAGCAACATGTCTTTGCAATTGAAACAATAACTATGACACTTGCTTAGTTTGATTTTCTTGATTGTCGTATAATTCAGTTTAGTTGATGGAATTATGATATAATTAAGTATAGTGCTTGAAGCCTGTAACGAAACAGATCAGTTTAGTAAGTAGAGTTGCCTGTTTCCAATGTGTATACGGATTCAGATCAGCCTGATTAAAAATAGGAAAAAACGTGCCTTTGATGCTGTTGCTATATAGCATGTATGATATCATACATTATAAGATAGCGATAAGTATGTTTGGTGTTTATTTCTAAACTGTACATCTATCACTGACTATATTTCATGATCACTGTCATTAAACAATTTCCCCATCAATAACATCGGTAGCAAGATAGCTAAGTGTCTGAGCTTTTAGTTGCCCGCAAAACAGCAGTATACAGTCTTAGAAGATGAGTGTTCTGTGTCTCAATTAAATGCAGCTGGCTGTGGACAAAGGTTAAGAATCTTTTTGACAACTGGGACTTTTAGTTTATCAGACACTTACTCTGCTTGTATGTTGTCCTGTTAAACTAGACACAGATGCATGGGAATACTTAAATGGGAGCAAAATAATAAAAACATTGCAATACGGTACTAAGCCCATGTTATGCTTTGCGCAAGTAATAGTAGCTGACCTTATCTAATATTCATGAACTCAAGGTAAATCACAACTGCATAAATTCTTTGCTAAAAAATATGTAATTTGGTTATATATATATTCCACATTTCTGACTAAATTCATCACCATTTCTTCATTTAGAATGCAACAGGAGTGCCTTCACAGACCCTAAAAACTGTTTCGCCCTTGGAACTATGGCCCTATGGAACCGATTACGGGAGACCCAACGAATAGCAGATTATAAAAAGGATGCTGGACTTCCATTTTAGTCTCACAACCACTTCCAGTATTTTTTTACTTCTTTTACTCTTTCGTTTGGAAAAAAAACAACAAAAACTGCAGCTTAACATTACCAATACAACTTTTAAACGGGAACTTGGTTTAAACCTTTGTTTGATATTCGATTCTTAGTGAAAGTTCTTGAATAAATTTTTGAATCTAATGCTACTTTGTTTTATCTACTTAATCGTTGCAAGAAACTTGTGACAAGCGAGCCTCTCAGCACCTAGTTCATGTGTTCAAATGGTTGTGGACTTAATAGAAGCTTTCGCTTAACAGGCTTCCGTGTCTAGTAGCGGGGGGTCACCAAAACCTCCAGGCAGGAACCTAGGTATGTTAACAATAAAAGAGGAAAGAGAAATTGGTAATTCATAGTATGATTCTATCCTTAAGAATAGATACACTTGCCTCTTAAAGACTCCTGGGAAGTCGCTTGGACTAGCTCGGCTGGTAGCGAATTCCAGATTTTGATAACTCTTAAGGAGTAGAAGTTGCGTCTACAGTCCGTTCTGCTATGTTGTGTCGCTGGTTTCTGGGACTAAGCTTAAGTAGGTGTTTTAGGGGATGTCCAGAAGTGTTAAGGTTATTGTAAGCCATTAGGTCACCTCTAAGACGTCTATACTCTAATGAGTAGAGGTTAAGTGATTGAAGGCGCTCTTCATAAGGTGATTTGGTGGTTATCTCCGCCATTTCCTTGGGAGACCTACAGACTCGGGTCCTCTCATAGCTTATTCTAACCACCATGGGTTGTCACACCAGCTGATGGATGGACACGCGTCACACATCCTAACCGTACCTGCGTCTTATCTTATAGCTTCTAATTCAAATGTCATATGACAAGCAAACAATGCCCCTACCCGCACTTATGGAACACTAGTAACTCAAATGCACCCCGTATGGTACCTTACACTGGTTTACGCACTCGCTTAGCTCTTTAGTGAAAATCCCATGAGCCACCCTTCCTCCATCAAAACAAATAAGTCTGTATTTGCAGCATATAGCAATTTTATTATTCAAAAGTAAGATATAACAGTTAGAATTGGAGTAAAATGGCAGTATACAACAGATGCACGTTGTACATGTCTTCATCGATTAACTGAAATAGAGAATATGGATATTAGATTAACAGCCTTATTTAGAAAGACTAGTGTCTAATTTGAACTTACTGCGTGAGAAAGTTATACTGGAACTACGAATGTTTCTCGGGGCGTACGAAGCACTCAGACTGTAAGACAGTTGTCCAAAAATAATTCGAATATGGAGGTGAAAATTTGCAGGTACTTTTCATCGTGAGGGTTAACATATTAGGTACCAGTTGACATCATACCGTAAGAAAACGCATATTTGCGAGTGGTGAAACACGATCTATAAAAAAGTGAGCTTAATAACAGTTAATTACCTTTTTACTCCCTGATCATGACCCTTCGGCTACCTTTTATGGCCAAAACAGCAAACATACACTAGACACTGGTAGCAGATTTCCGGCTTTTCAATGTTAAGCTTGCTTTAACGCACTGAGTAGTGAGTACAACCCCTCTTTTACTGTTATATGGCATATTTTTCATAACAAACCCTCTGCAATAGATTGGTAGCATCTGTGACTTCATCTATAGTTGTCGGAAGTCTGGGTCCTTTCGAAATCAGTACCGATATACCCTACTGCTGGGCACTCTGTATTAGTTTGACTCGTTGGTGGGATAGTGTTGTCCATAATACTGAAGAAAATTAAAAAACGCAGATTGTTTCCTTTCATTTTGCCGATAACATCATAAAGGATAGTTAGGAACGAACATGCGAACAGTTAGAGTCACAGGCGGCAGCAACAATTATTTTGGCTAAATAAAAACGAACTTCGGCTTCGGATATCTAGAAAACAAGATAAAACATAACCGATTGTCGTTTGAAAACGTAAGGTCTTATGTTAGTACTAGCCAGCTTAGCTGAATAAATACAGTGACTTCATTAGCAGCAGATAAAACCCAGAAAACAAAGCAAAATCAGGAAAAACTTTGCTCCAACGTTCAGAGTATTACACTAACTTTTGAATTTTAGCACACTGAAACATCAAATTCCGTAGCTACACAAAAGAAATAGCTGAAAGAAGCACAGAACGAAGAAAGCCGACCGCCATTGCTCACGAAGATGGCGGATGTAATAATTCCCGCCTCATTCTGATTGGTTGCTAAGCTGAAGGGCACATTTACGAAATTGAGTTGCGTTTAATTGCAGCCCAGAAAACATCATGTCAAAACCGTTCTTATGCTATCGCATGCACATGTGTTTATTTTCTTTTTTCGCCGCTTTCTCTTTACGCGCATACGAGCGTGGTTCGAAGTGCACTTACATATCCCCGTTTTGTTTTCCAGGACGGCTGGAAAAGACGAAAAAAGAAAGACAAAGTTTACGATGAACCGAAATTTTCATTGTATATGTTTCTTTTATTATTATATTTTGCCGCATGGTCCTTTAAAGTAAGGAAAGACGTCTAGACACTGCTGAACATGGCAAGCTGTCAGAAGAGTGTTTACTAACGACAAACTATTTGGGTTTGGTCATCACTGCCCCACGAGGGGGAGGAAGTGATCTGTGGCGGTAGATAAGTCCCCAAAATCAATAGCTCTGTAAGCCTTAGACATTCAGTGCTGACCACATTAGTTTTAATGGATTCACCTAGCTGAAGGCGCTCGGTCATGTATCCGTACCAGATCATGAATGGGAACACCGTGTTCAACATCGCCTGCAATCGCTAGCCAGATTAGATCAGTCGGTCCTTGATAAATTGATAACCTATCAATTATATCTTCGAACCTCCTCACTTCTGTCATTCGATTTCATTTGATGGGTACGATTATTGTAAGAAGGTGTTACTGGTTAAAGCGTTGTCAAACTCCAAATACCTGTGGCATCTTCAACTTGATACGCTCTAAGGTAGTTTCAAGAATTCGACAAGCTTAACCTGTATGCAATAGATGCATTCTACTTAACGCATCATCCTTAAAAAAGCTCTGCGTCACTGACTCAAAATAGAGGAAACACCACACAAAAAAACTCCGTCCAACAATATAAATATTTCTCACTATTCGGTTAGCATAAGTATCAAAGGAATAATTCGTCCCACAACTGATAGGTGATCCGTGCCACTTATTTTTTAATTTAACACTGTACGCCAATTCAAGTAAACTCAGAAATTGAAAGATTCTGAAGATGACACAGGTATTCAGTGTTTGACAACGCTTCTACCAGTAACACCTTCTAATATGATTTGTACCCACCGAGAGAAATCAAAAGACAGAGTCGAGGAGATCGGAAGAGTGTATTTGGCGATCACCAATATATCGGAATTCGCTGATCTAATCTGGCTAGCGAATGCGGTTGATGTTGAGCACGGCGTTACCACACGTGATCTGGTGCGGATGCCTGAACGAGCGCCTTCAGCTAGATGAGTCCACTAAAACATATAGTCAGCATCCAATGTCGGAAACTTAGAGCTATTTATTTTGGGGATTTATTTACCGCTACAATTCTCACTGCTTTATAACCTATTAATTAATGTAGCAAACAGTAGATGCACCAATGTCCTCATTCAAGTCAAAAATGTTGATCAATTTCTTCGTTAGTCAAGGACTAACCTTGAGTATAAAGTCGTTTCGTACGAAGCACTTCCAAAATATTTGTCAACTAAAGTAACGCGGTTCAACTATAACCTGACAGGAGATTTAGAAAAAGCCTCCCACACAAAACCATATTTCAGTTGATAATTCTCAAGAAATAATATCTTTCATGATATAGATAATAGCTATGACGAACACGTAAGTTAGCGTTTATAATGGAGTAACTAATGTTCAATTGTTTGCACTCACTTTACCCCTTATTTGTCGAAAAAACGGAAGGTTTTTAACTTCACAATGATATAAGTTTAAAGCACTAGCTTCATGAATGTGTACAGTTGAAAAATGACTTGTACAGAATTTTGTTGTTTGAAGCTTTTGTTTAAACCTTCCGATGTTAGTTGTTACTATAACATTTATTCGTCAACCTTGACAAGACTTTGATTTTATCAATACTTATATCATGAAACTTGAACTTAAAAGACGAGTATGTCTGTCATCAAAATAATCATGTTTTGTTCTTAAAGGTATCAAAAAAGCAGCAAAGAAAGAGTCAACAGGGTGGTGACGAATTCGAATCCAGTTTGCGTGAGGATATGGATGATTATGGTGTGCGTGCTGCTTTGAAACCTGAAGACCAACTTCAGTTGTCTGAGCAGGTTTGATTACTTCAAAATTATAAGTTTGTAGGAACTGAAGGAAGAGATTACTAGGGTTCTGACCTCCACCAATCCTCATGCCCCTCAAAACATTGTGAGGTATAATTTTAAAGTAAACGTATATTTTTCCCGTATAAATTAAGCATAGGACGGTCAGTACATACAAGTACCTCAAGTGGATCAAATGGCTATCCACTTTTGGCATGAAAGTTACATGCTTCCCCTTGATTCCGATGAAGCCAGAAGACAAATAGCTAGAGATGGTACTATGCAGCCTGAAGGTAAAAGAATCTTATTTAATTACTTCTGAGTTAGAGTTACAGGCGGAAGAACATAACAAGGAGGTAAGTATCTATATTCGCGTTTGTACGTTTCTCCAAAAGCCTGCAGCTGCTGTGAGAGAGGGTGATATTCAATTACCTCAAAAGAAAGTCACTAACCAGTTCAACTTTTGTGAGAGGTCTACCCAAACATATAATAACCCTCAGCGGGTATGTCTTCTAAAAAGTATAATCGCTATTAGGATAGGGGAAGCGTTACAGAGCCCCCTCCAAGGGCGAACTTTTCAGCTAACGTTACACAGTGGAGCATTTATGATGACTACATAGAAGATTTTGATAGACAACAGGAGAAAAACAAAGATAAGAAGTTGTTAGGTGTGAGTCACAAGCAGGAAAATAAAGCGCACAAAAAGGTTATCTCTGGAGATACACAGGTAACTTCAAACTAAATCTTCAAGAACCTCAGTTTACTCAAATAAAAGGGATGATGAAACGTTTCGCGACTCTGTTTTGATTCATATATTTGTATTTTTTCTGAAGACGATGAAAGATGCTCAGGTTTACTTAACATTGCTCTATAGTGGCTCCTAATGAATGATAAACTGTTGTTTTTGAGTGCCCTAAAAAGGATATATATATTAATAACCAAACAATTACTTGAAAATACTTAGTGTATCCATGATATGATTATCAAGTGCTTGGATGATACTGCTACATCCATCTTTACCACTGCTTATACCCACAGTAACAAGACTTCATAAAGATGAGGGTCTTTGGACGTCTTTTTGGTTGTTACTATTTGAAGGAAATCATTATGACAAAGTAGGTATAACAACTGACAGAATGATATAAATCCATTTTTATTTCATGGTTTCTCATCGGGTCCTTAAAACCAGATTCGTACTAAAGTATAACATACCACCTGTTCGTAAACATAGGTGACTTTAAAATCAAAATGCAAAGGATGACTAATACTGTGTGTTAATCTCGTGAACAGCTTACGAGAAAATACGAAAGAAAAAATAAACTGTACTATTTGTTTTAGTTCGTATATGTTGGTCGTTTGGGTCTCTTTGAGAGCAAACTCCGACCTAAAGCCTGCTTGCAGAGCTGCTGTATAGTAGAAGAAACCTTGCCAGACAACTTAAGCTGTCGACAATATCAGACTGACCACTGACTCTGTTGTATCCTTGATCAACTTAAGTTTCAACTTGAGGCTTACATAACCGCGCCGGGCCAACTGATGTGCATGCCTATGTATATGAAAAACAGAAGTTCAAAAGCCTATTTAGTTCATGTATGTAGCTATATGCAAAGGGTACGTGTTTGGTGTCGTACAATGGAAACGTTAGTTGAAATGTTATTTGAATTATGTCTTATACAATCAGCGGCCTAATCTTTCAGGTAGAGGACATGGTAAAAAGATATAGTATCACATACTAGGAAGAGGCGAATGACAATCTCCCTTGAGAGAACGCTTATGTTCATGTATATGTCAGGAAGCACTGCGGCAGTAGCTATGAGTTGAGTGATATGCATGCAATGTGAATGAGACAGTCCGTTAAAACAAATATGTCTCAAAGGGAGTGGTGAACATCTACCCTCCCAAGTGGGTGGATATACCTACGTTTGTACAATGGGATGCATGGGATAAACCCTGTGTTTTACTGGTGTGCATGTGAAGTATATTTGCTTACAGAGTAGGTGTACGTGCGTGTATATCAAGGAATGCATAGATAAAAGTTCGTGTTTTGCCTGGTATGCTCGTTAATTATTGATATTGCCGAGGCAATCAGCGCAGGATACATATATCCCGAAACAGGCTAATCAATTCCTTAACATCAAAGGGATCCAGAAAACCAACATATGGTAATAAAAATTCACCCCACCACACAAGCCAGTGACCATCTGAATTCACTAGTTAGATAAACAACTCCATGAAGTTTGAGGCGTAAGGTACTATGTTAGAGTCCTGAAGTGAACACCGACTCTGAGAGGCAGGTGCATCTAGGTGACGAAACCTGTATAAAACAAAACGAGCTCCTTGAATTCCACTGCTTGTTACCATACATCTTTACCTAAAATGTGTTGTTTTTTTGCTTTTAATTTATTTAAGTAAAAAAAACTAACAATATAATGATGGTGTACTACATATTCATCATTATTGTGGAAGGTTTGCACTTAAGACGTATTCATTTTCATAAAGCTTATGTTAATCTATCACAATTTCTTGAATAAGTTTGCAGAAAATTTGTGAACTTTACGGTTGATTCTTATTCCTTTTTGTTCATGATGTAGAAACAGTGGGATGAAATTTTAGGCAGATTGAATTTCTATTATTGTGCTAGTTTATGTTGCTCCCTTATATCTTTAAATCATATACACGCTAATGAGCTTGAAGATGTCCATTACGCAAAAGATGAAGGGCAAACAAGGGATATTTTTTATTAGATCTTATATTAATATCAATATCCGGCGCTTGTATTCCAAGTTTTCCCTCACGGTTAGTAATTAAGCTTGAGTTCTTATTCCGTGTCAAAAGTTTGTGCTGAAATTGACTGTATAAGTTTAATTATTTTATGCTGTTCATAGAAAATATTGTCTTCTTGGTTACTTCGAATCCCAAATTAATGCGTAGAATAATAGATGTGATAGAAATACGACAATTCACCTCACTGAAAAATAAAAACTCAGATAGTAGGAGAAGATATGTAAGGATCACACCGTGTTCACAAAAACTCATTTTATTTACATGAAATGTGATCTAGCTGAAAAGTGACTTTCACTATCATTAAGCTTAACGGCTTAGAAATCAAGAATTAAAAGTTTTGTGTGCAACCGACTATTGACTGTCAAGTGTTTCTAGTGGGTCACACAAACCTCATCATTTTAAGGTCTTCTTGCACATAAAGTAGAAGTATAGCGTTTACAAAATTGAGATTACACAAAATGTCTCATCAAGATTTCAAAGTTACAATGTTTTATAGATATACGAAAAGGCTAAAGTTAAAAGTGATTAAAAAACCAAACATTTTAGGGTCTGTCTCATTAGTTAGCCGATTAGAATTGAGTTTTCCACTATCCCATGCAAATCTAACGAATATCACGACGGAAGATATATAGAAAATTCTTGTGATTATTCTAACGACCCAACCCAGTCTCATTTTACAAATAAAAGTCAGCATTATCGCTGTTGGCTGGTAAACACCTCCAAAGCTCAGACAAATAGAACATTAATCGGAGATTCAAAATTGCTCATTACTGACGTTTTACAAGTATTTTATTTAGTCTACGTTATTCAGTAGGCAAGAAATACTAGTTTGATTGGTTTCAAAACTATTGAATGTGACCAATAAAATGTAGCAGTGATATAGTAAAAAATAATGCTCGAAAGGCTGATTTTACTTCGAAACCTCAAAATAAATCTATCTGCTGATTTCAAAAAGTGTGATTCTGTGTTTACATAGGTTAACGGTGTGATATTACTGTATCCTTCTCCAGAAATGTTTCGTAAGCTGAAGTTTTACGTCCGATAATCTTTGTACATGCTCTCTAACATATATCAATGCATCATTTAAAAATTTTTATTTTAGGGAGATGAATTAAGTCGGTTTGCACAACCCCTTAAAATCGTTGAACGCATGATCAACCAGAACACACATGACGAGATTGCTCAGGATTTTAAGTACTATGAAGACCCTTCAGACGAGTTTAGAGACAACCAGGGTACCTTATTACCTCTGTGGTCATTTTCTTTTGAAAAAGCAAGAAAACTTGCTGTAACGTCGTTGTGCTGGTCATCCCAATACAGTGATCTTTTTGCAGTTGGTCATGGGTCATGTAAGTCACATTTTAATAAACAGACGGATAAGTTTTTACTGCATACATTTTCATAAAACCGTATCTGAGGATTGATTGCTGAATGAGAATATGTGTAGGGGACGACATTTTGTCATGACTTTTAGACTACTATAAAATCCTAAATATTTTTCTGTTTCAAACCGAAAATAAAGTAAATAATCTGTAGCATCATAGTTTTTAACAGAAATGTGAATGACAAATAGGAACAAATATATAATTCTGCAACTTTTTAAAAGTAGTATCCCAACCAGTATCTACTACCACAAAATAATTCAGTCGTGTAACTATTTGTACGTGATTAAACGACAAAATTAATAACCGTCTGTTAAATCAATTCAGCAATTCGGTGTAAGAGAGTGCTCAGCTATACTATTGAACCAGAACATATTTCATGATTCTATGAAATTAAAAATGTTTCTTCTAACATTATTAATTCTTCGCCAAGATAATGCTATAAAACTAAGAATCCAATTGCATCATTGTCACTAATGCATGACAATAAAAACTCCAGTTCTTTGTTAGTCTTAACATTGATCAATGATTCCATAAACTAGATTTCTGTCATAAAGTTCTAAAAATGGTCATTAAAAGCTCATTCAAGCAAGAAAATTTAAGGAATTTAGCACTGTTTCAAAGTGTATTTTCGAAGTTAAAACTAAGTTCTTTCATACTCAGGTTGATGTACAAGAGCACTTTAAAGATAAAGAATACAGATATGAACCAATGAATAATATACCTTGAATATGGACAATTTGTGGCCTGAATATGTTGAAAGAATTTCATACTTTAAGTTGAACTATCAGTAATTAATTCAAATGTAGTCTATACTTCATAATTTCTTGTCTTCGTTATTTATTAGATGATTTTTTGAAACAGTCCAACGGCCTTATTTGTGCATATACACTAAAAAATCCAAGTTACCCAGAATATTACCTTGAGACAGAATCAGGTGTACTCTCATTGGACTTACATCCATCACTGCCCTATATGCTTTGTGTTGGATTTTATGATGGAGCAGTTGGAGTTTATAGTATTTTACAACATAAAAATGGACCATTATATTTAAGTACAGCAAGAACTGGTAAACATACAGATCCTGTATGGGAAGTTCGCTGGCAACCGAATGATTCAGATGCAAATTTAAATTTCTTTTCTGTTAGTGCAGATGGGCGAGTTACATCATGGACACTAATTAAAGTTAGTGAAAGTGACTGGTATAATTCCTTTACGGAAAATAGGATTCATAGTATACACAATACCAATATTGTTAAAAGCTATAAAAACATTTAGATTAAAGATTTTATTATTATTGTTCCAATTTTCCTAATCGGAATTGCAAGTAAACAAAGTCCGGCTGAATTGGGTACTAGACATTACAACACTGTATGATTTAGTCACAAAACTCATATGGTTATTTTTAACAGAGACATCATCAACAAGATACTTTGTATATTTTGTTTTATTTTATATTCAGCCACCTAAAAGATAAGATACCTGAAGTATCATAAACAGAAAAGATAGATATGACTGTTACATTCACAATTTGTTTGATATAAATAATTTCGCTTTCGGCTAAAACTGTCGACTACATATATGATTAACACCTGACAGCCGGTATTTGTATGGTTTGCTTTCAAGCACAAGTTGCTAGTATTTTCGTTAGGATGAACCCTACTTTTTGCTAACGTCCTCATATTTTAACTTAACATACTTGACCAAGTAGTGGTCTTCAAAACTTAGTCAATATTTCAAAAAAATATATGACATAATTATTTCCATGAAGGAAACCAGGAGCTCAGGACACCATCCAATAATATCCTTTTGGTCTGTACAAAGACTCTATTCAGTATGAATACCACAATGTCTAAAGAGACGACTCATAGACCTTTCAACTGTAAATATGTGCTCATCACCAGATCTAAAGCTTATATGACCGATTTCAAGTAGCATACTGAATACCTCTCATAAAAATGTCTCGAACTAGGACAAAACAGGTGCTAAGTTCCTTCTAGTCACAGACAGTTCTTCAGTGGTTTTTGCAAATAACAACTTTGCTTAAAAACTCTAAAAAGGTAACTCCTCAACTGAAGCTTTAACTAATAAGGTTTTGTTTTATTTATCATACTTACGAATTATATATCCAAATCTAACTCATTAAAGCTTGAATACAACGATAAACTGTTAACAACTTGTAGAAGTTGGATTGCAGTACTTGGTTTCAAATTTATGCAATGAATCAATAACTTGAACAATAAACAGAGTTAGTGTTTCATAAACAATGTTCTCCAATTGAATGAATTAATTCGTTTTATTGTATGAGATAACAACAATAATTCAAATAACAAAATCTCTATTCTTTTAACCTCAGTTAATCAAAAATATAAATCTTGTTTAGAATATTTATTTGAAAGGGCTAGGAATGATTATATTTCAATCCACTAGAATTCAATTATACATTATCAAATTTCAATGATTATTCATTGAGAAATTTATCTATGAAGCAATCATCTTTTGAATGCGAAATAACGATGGTCTAATAAATACGATGATATACAATTCAATTCAATAAACCGAATTTATAAGTATAAACATGGTAATTCATTGAAAGTAAATGGACAGAATTCATACTGAATTAATGAATGAAGTCTAAAATTCATTTTTTTTCCCCATGTATTGTATTTAAAGAATTAACATTTCTAACAATCATTTCTATTCTAGTTTAGTATAAAGATGAGAAAGTGATGAAAGTTGAATAAATGCTAAATATTTTCTGTCAACAAAATTTATCTACATCCTAATAGTGATAATTGGATGCATTTGAATAAGATATTAAACAATCCAAATTTAATTGTGTTTATTGAGGGGTGTTTTGAAAAAAAAATATGTATCAATAAATAGAAAACCTGCTTTCCGAGATAATTCCACTTGTTGTAAGCTGTCTTCGTCTTTTAGACATAATTTTCTTGTCATTCTTCTTTATCCTCTATTGCTTCTTGTATTGATCTCTATTTGTAGAATGATATAGGTAAATTTGATGCAGTGATATTAAAGATGATAGCGAATTCTAAAGAAAGCATCGAACAATCTCGATTAATTACTCTAGGTAAGTTAACAGAAAACTAAAACATGGACCTCGAATAAAATATTTTATACGCTATTATTACTTACTTACGCCTGTTATCCCTTGTGAAGGAGAATAGTCCGCCCACCATCATTCTCCATTGGATATGCTATTATACTACTTACATATAGTTAAAGTAGCCAGACGGTCTAAAATAAAGTAACACTGATAAGAATCTAAGTGATGAGATGAACTTTGATGTTTTGGGTGATGAGTTTTATAAACAGTCTGCAATAAGTATCATTATCTGATACATTTTACTTCAGAATAAACAGATGATCGATTAGAGAATACTGGATAAATTATTCTTAAGCGTAATAAAACTTTTAATAAGTGTACTCTGTACACTAATCAGCTATTTGATTGTACTCAAGTCCTCTGGACAGTTATTAAGCATATAGTATAAGTAGCAGACCTATCAACTTTTGCAAACTTAAATATTCAGTAAAATTGAATCACTCTATTTTTATCAATCAAGAAAAATACAACCAAAACATTTTGGTATAATTGGTTCACTTTGAATAAAGCCAAGATAACAATTGGTGCTGAATAAGAAAAAAACCCACTTCAGAGTACTTTTGTCCATAACATGTGCCGAATTCTGTTGAATATTTCAAAAAGTAGCACAGAAAACACCACCCGATTCCTTTAAAAAGTTAAATTTGTATTTAAATACAACTATGCGTTGATTCCAATGGCAACTTTTAGAACTAGGAGATATTTATATAAGGAAGCAAAAATCACACTGCTATTTAGAAACGTATTATAATAAGAATAAATAAGTTTCTCTGTTAAGGTGTCCTTTTGTATCACCTAAGTTGCTTACTAACGTAGATCTGTGACTGACAAGCGTTTTGTCTTCGATAACTAAATTTAATTACGAAATCACACTAATAATTTATTTTGATTGGACGTAAAAATATCCATTAACCAAAATATAAATTTCGAGAAACTAATAACTGAATCACTTCATATGGTGTGCAACCTACAAAAAGTATGTGTAAAACTACAATTTTGTCTGAATAACAGAGATAATTAAAAGTGAAGCTAATGTATCAGCCACAAAATTATGACTGTGATGCAAAAGATATCTAAACAAAAAAACGAAAAAACTTTGCCACAAAGAATAAGTTTCTTTTTTCCTTTGTTAGTGCAATATGAGATCGATCTATTTTCTGTAGCTGTATGGTATGTAGTGAGTATCCTAAATGTTTTGGGAAGGGATTATAATGAAATCATCTCAATGCCTAAACTTTCGAACACAAAAGTTGTGTTAATTTATTAAAAATTGTTCCCATTATGAGTATCACACAAACCAATACAATACATAGTTTTAGTCATAAACCAATTCCTAATAACGTATACGTAGAACTGTTATCACGAACGGATAGCATAGGAACACAGATTAAGACCAACTAGTAGAGTAAATTATATGTTGGATGAGTAATTTTACATAGGCATTGTTTTATTGTAAACTCAAACAGGGTTTGAATAATTAAATGTTGTGTTCAGTATTCCCGAAACATAAGAAAGAAATTCAAATTAGTGTGAAAGTTACACTAAATATTGATGACATGAGAGAAGCTAACAATTGGTTGACACGCTTAAAACTTGACACTGATTAAACATTTATTTATAGTTTTTAGTCTTTTAAGTATTACCCTCCTCTTTACTGATATGATGCAATAAGTTGTGTGACCAAAAACGATGAAATTCATGATTGTTTTAAGCGTTACTATAAGCAGTCGTTCGGTTCGTCGATAAATCAATTCAAAAAGTGGTCAATTAATCAGTCATTCAATCAATCACTCAGATTCTTTACCTATTGTCGACTTTAAGAGTGTCGTTCATCTGTAATTAAATGGATATGTATATATGACTCGCACAATAGGATATTTAGTTTATGGACGTACAGAACGATAGACATAAATATTAATAGTCCCAGAACAGATGTAGATAATTCGAGTTAGAAGAAACTAACAAAATGAAAGATAAAATACTCAAAATAGTATTAATAACAATAGTGAATATGTAGAAAACAAGAAACAAGAAGGCCATTTTTATGATAGAAAAGTATTTTAAAAAAATACTGTGTAGGCTTTAAGGGGTAATAACATACGAATGGATTATAATTGATGTTCAGATTTGAAAAATTGACATTTTATTGTCTTGATCATAGTAATTCCAAAATCATAAGCTTTAACACAATAAAAGTTATATAATCAGACGAACTACGGAAATTTCTATCACTTACATAGATTACGAGTTTTGATACCGGAAAAACTAAACTCTAAAGAAAACAAAAAATCATACATTCTCAGTTAGAGATTGTTTAAACAACAAAATTTCTTAAAAATTCAGCAATAAACAATTTGAAAAGACCGTTTTAAGACAGTTACCATGAATTTTGTATACTCCGTGTCCATAGCTGAATTCAGGGCTCTAAAACTAGCAAACTTAATGACTAACTCTCAAGGATACCACAGTTTAAAATAATTATCTGCGAACTTTATATTATATCATTCTTAAACTCGGTTGGATTAAATTTCTAGATTTCCTCAGTTTCTTGAGCCTATGTTGTAGGGTTATATGGGGCTATAAGTAGTACATTATTCTTTATTGGATGGTTTTTCATTATTATTTATAGGTTTCAAATCGCGTGAACAACATAATAAGTAACATATATTTACTAACAGAATTATAATTGAATAAAATTCAACAATAATAATCACAGAAGTAACTTTTTAATGCTTTACTAACTATATATTTTGTCACGTTACTGCCTATTCTATTCATTGACAGATTGTGGTACAGCATTCGATTTTCATCGTACTCAAAATCATATATTCCTTGTAGCAACAGAAGAGGGAATGGTGTTTAAATGTAGCAAAGCATATACATCTCAATATCTAGCCACTTATGAAGCTCATCATATGGCTGTTTATCGTGTAGCTTGGAATTTATTTCATCCTGATATATTTATTACATGTTCAGCCGATTGGACAGTTAAAATATGGGATCATACAAAAAGGTAACTCAAACAATTTGTTTTTAATGGTTAAGATCACGAGTCAGTTAAAGCTAGACCACCATGGAAAACCTGGAAGCACTGGACGACTGTTTCGTCCTATTGTGGGACTCCTCAGCAGTGTGCATCCAAGATCTCGTCCCCCTGCGAGATTCGAACCCAGGACCTACTGGTTTCGTGTGCGAGCACTTAACCACTAGACCACTGAGCCGGCATCCAATGGTATTAATGTCTAACTTCAACTAATCCACTAAATTGAGCGACACATCCACCATTGTCTTCAGTGAGTTACAATCTCACAACAGACCTGGTTGAACTCCACTGGTCACTGCTTCTCACTAAAACTCCAGGATATACCTCGTGAAGCCAGTCCCTAGTGAGCATATGTTGATTAATATCAGATGGGTTTTGTGGATATTATAGTAATTTCAATGGTTAAGATCATGAGTCAGTTGAAGTTTATTATTTTATTTGAAAGTTCATTTAAATAAATAGGGAAACTAGATAGATTTTTCTGTTCTAGTTTGTGACTACTTATTACTGATTACTTAGGGGATCCAACCTAAAAAACAATTATTATATTTTCTGATCAATTATTTATACGATAAAATTGAAATAATGTCAATTTTCCTTATAAGTCAACGAAATGGATATATTAGTCAATCGAAACTAACCAATATGAATGAAAGTACTTTTGTAAAGAACAAAATATGTGCACATCAACCTTTTCATTTCGTTTGTACTTTAAAAAATGCAAATGTTTTATATTTTCTTATAATAATTACATGAGATTTTCTTGATCCATTATAGTATTTTTACAAATTTGATACATCGTATACATCGTAAGAGAACAGAAATCTTAACGAATCATCATATTCACCTTGTTGCGTGAATTCATGAATAGTGACATCATACATGTGAAATATAAAATCACAATGTGTCATAATTTATCGATTTCACTGAATCAGTCAGTAATATATAACATAAGTTGTGCTGTAAATCTATATCAATTTACATTGTTACACCTCACATAATAAAATTAACAAGATTAACAATGAGATCAAGATAATAGTGAAGAAGAGAATTTATTGAAAAGAACAATCTTTGTTTCTGTTTTTTTATAGTGAAGTAAGTAGTTGTAAAACCTAAAGATACATAATATGACTGAACAGAGCGGATGAATGAGAGGATTCAAATAATGTAATAATAATTAATATCAAGATTTATATGAAGAGAAAAAGTGGATCTATTTGCATAAGTGAAATCTGTTGTGAATCATTTCATCTAACATTCTTGACCATTAATTACAACTATCATTTGAACTTAAACTAGGAAGTCTAAATTTCACAACACAACTTAATCCGATAGTTGTTATCTTGATAAATGTATTCTTGCTTTTTGAGTTTGGCTGTTCCTATCTTTCTTCCAATCTACTCCTATGATAGCTCTCATGATACATTCACGTAGCTAGATGTTGGCTGAATATGAGTGGTATTGTAGTGAACAGAAAGTCAAGTATAGTAAATCGATACCTTTGTAAAATATGAAAATGATGCATTAAATGCATCATTTGTATATATTTTCCTTGAGTTGTCTCCTACATACTCACTCCATCATTCTTCCAATCCTGTTCTTATGCTGATTTCTCCTTAATTCCCTTTTTCTTTTCTCTTTATTTCAATCTTCTGGTAAACATTCTACTTTCAATTCCTGCACATCACAGTATATGTTTCAGTCATGATAATGAATTCACAAAAAGCATACATTTAGAACTACATAAAAATATAATAGAACAAGTGTTTACTAAGTTTTGTTTCTTTCTTTTGAAAAACAAAGCAAACTACGTGTTTAAAATAAATAACAACTTAAGTTTTATGATATTTTTTCTTATTAAATAAATGGCTTTATGACTGTAAGTTTCTATGACAGTTTTTAGATCATTAATTTGAATTTGAGTTTTCATAATTTTTACTTTGAACTTATTATGTATTCGAAAAAAATCTCTCGATGGTGTCCAATAATTAGATCATTAACAATACAAGTTTGTATATATATAATTGTCTACATGAATATCCAATGAAATTTATGAACTAAGAGATCAACTCTTGTTTAGGATCTGGTAATTTGTAAACTGATAATAAAAGTAATGGATGAAAACTAAATTACAGTTTAATTTGTAATGAGTTGAATTACCCCACTATTGATATTCTGATTGAAATTTAAACCGCTTTGGTTGATATATACATATCATGTGTGATTGCCTCGATATAGAAATTATGACACAAATTAATATAGAATAGATGAAATATGACTAGTAGTTTAATCAAGAATGGGTTGTTCGTCTTATTTGATACTCGTCTGTTCAAACACCACCGCATCGTCTACTCAGCTACTGAATTCTATTCTCAAAGTGAACACTACCTCCAAGATACTGATTTATCCAGCTGACGAGTCTCAACTAGAATGAAACGTTCGTCATGAATTTCACTGCTAGTCATATTTCATCTATTCCATATAAATTAAATTACTATGTTATTATTGTTGAAGCTTAAATTAACTCTTGGATTTCATTTGTCGTTATTAATCCCAGCTAAATCCATCACTAATACATTAAAACTTCAAACATTATTAAACAAGTCACTAAAAGGAAGCGGTGACTTTGAATCGATAAACGAGATTTTCCTACTTAATTGTAGACGTTAACAGTCAATAGAATACGAACACATGAACATGACAACTTTAAAATTACCTGAAATTCTTTCTCTAGATATATATCATAGTAAGTTCATGGGCAAATAAAGATAGTTTAATCTAACATATAAAATGGATAAAGAATTGACTAACATTTCGCCAACAAACATAAATTTATCTATGAAATTACATTTCATAATTATAAGTTGATTGTTTTAAAGATAAACATTTTTAAAACATAAAATAGTGATAACAATAAAAGTGATAATGAAATAAGTAGATACATAAATTTCAATGTATTATATATTTTGACAAAATAATTCATAAATTGGGAACTTTCTTAATCGAGATGTAGATCTGTTATCTAGAGAAAAGCTTTTCTCTTTGCATTATGAAAATCAAATTTTCTTATCAAAACTATTCTGATTATTTCAGATTATTCAAGAATCGGTTATGTGATAATATTGTTCAGAATCCTATAATTACGAGTACTGTCCGAGATTGATCGAAAACCCAGTGTTCTCTGTTTATATCAGTGACAATCGGAACTTACTTACTTACTTACTTATGCCTGTTACTCCTCGTGAAGGAGCATAGGCCGCTCACCAGCATTCTCCATCCAACCCTGTCCTGGGCAATCCTTTCCAGCTCCTTCCAGTTGTAATTCATCCTATTCATATCTGCTTCTATTATCCGACGTAATGTGTTCTTAGACCTTCCTCTTTTTCGCTTCCCTTCAGGATTCCAAGTTAGGGCTTGCCTCGTGATGAAGTTTGATGATTTGCGTAATCTATGTCCTATTCATTTCCATCCTCTTTTCCTAATTTCCTCTTCAGCTGGAAGCTGAATTGTTCTCTCCCAGAGAAGGCTATTGCTGATGGTATCCGGCCAATGGATGTTGAGTATCTTGCATAGACGACCATTTATAAATACTTGTACCTTCTTGATGGTGGTTGTTGTGGTTCTCCAAGTTTCAGCTCCGTACAGTAGAACTGCCTTGACGTTCGTATTGAAGATTCTCACTTTGATATTGGTTGAAAGTTGTTTTGAGTTTCATATGTTCCTCAATTGTAGGAATGTGGCCCTTGCTCTGCCAATCCTCGCCTTTACGTCTGCATCTGAACCTCCTTGTTCATCGATGATGCTTCCCAGGTATGTGAAGGATTCTACATCTTCCAGAGTTTCGTCATCAAGAGTGATTGGATTGCCATTCTACGCTTTGATTTTGCAGACTTTGGTTTTCCCTTTATGTATGCTGAGACCTACTGATGCAGAGACTGCTGCTACACTGGCTGTCTTTATCTGCGTCTGTTCGTGTGTATGCGATAGGAGGGCTAGGTCATCTGCGAAGTCCAAATCGTCTAATTGATTCTAAGTTGTCCATTGTATGCCGTGTTTTCCTTCAGATGTCGAGGTCTGCATAATCCAGTCGACCACCAGAAGAAAGAGGAAGGGAGAGAGTAGACAGTCTTGTCTGACTCCGGTCCTTACTTGGAATGCATCTGTCAGTTGTCCTTCATGCACGACCTTGCACTGTATTCCATCGTATGAATTCCGGATGATGTTGACAATCTTAATCAGGAACTCCATAGCGTCGAAGAAGTTTCCATAACGTCCTCCTATCTACACTGTCGAATGCCTTTCTATAATTAATGAAGTTGATGTACAGTGACGATTTTCACTCAACTGACTGTTCGACGATGATCCGTAGTGTCACAATTTGGTCTGTGCACGATCGATCCCTACGGGTTCCAGCTTGTTGTTCACGAAGTTGGGGGTCTCCTGCATCTTTCATCCGGTTCAGCAAAACTCTGTTAAAGACTTTCCCTGGTACTGTCAGTAGTGTAATACCTCTTTAGTTTTCACATTTGCTCAGATCTTTCTTTGGAACATTGACGAGGTGTCCTTCTTTCCAGTCCATCGGCACTTGTTCCTCCTCCCAAATCTTTTTGAATAGAAGATAAAGCATGCTTGTGGTTGCTTCGATGTCTGATTTCAGTGCTTCAGCTGGTATGTTGTCGGGTCAAGCTGCTTTTCCGTTCTTGATTTATCTGACGGCCATTCTAATTTCCTCCGTAGTTGATGGATTGACATCTATAGGAAGATCTATGTGTGCTGCTTCGATGTCCGGTGGATTCATTCGAGCTGGCCTATTCAGGAGTTCCTCGAAGTATTCTACCCATCTGTTCCGCTGTTGTTGGATTTCAGTGATGGGCTTGCCTTCTTTGTCTTTGACCGGTCTCTCTGGTTTACTGTATTTCCCTGATAGTTTCTTCATTGTATCGTAAAGCTGTTTCACATTTTCTTCTATA